CCCAGCCTATCTCAGCCATTTGTAACCGGTGGGATGGCCCCCAGCCTATCCCAGGCATCTATGACCAATGGGGTGGCCCCGAGTCTAGCCCAGCCATCTGTGACCGGTGGAGTGGCCCCCAGCCTATCTCAGCCATTTGTAACCGGTGGGATGGCCCCCAGCCTATCCCAGACATCTATGACCAATGGGGTGGCCCCGAGTCTAGCCCAGCCAGCTGTGCCCGGTGGGGTGGGCCCCAGCATAGCTCAGGCATCTATGACCAGTAGGGTGGCCCCCAGTCTAGCCCGGCCATCTGTGACCAGTGGGGTGGCCCCCAGCCTAGCCCAGGCGTCTATGACCAGTGGGGTGGCTCCCAGCCTAGCCTGGCCATCTGTGACCAGTGGGGTGGCCCCCAGGCTAACCCGGCCATCTGTGACTGGTGGGGTGGCCCCCAGCCTAGCCCAGCCATCTGTGACCAGTGGGGTGGCCCCCAGCCTAGCTCAGGCATCTGTGACCGGTGATGTGGCCCCCAGCCTAGCCCAGCCATCTGTGACCAGTGGGGTGGCCCCCAGCCTAGCCCGGCCATCTATGACCAATGTGGTGGCCCCCAGCCTAGCCCAGCCATCTATGACCGGTGGGGTAGCCCCCAGCCTAGCTCAGGCATCTATGACCAGTGGGGTGGCTCCCAGCCTAGCCCGGCCGTCTGTGACCGGTGGGGTGGCCCCCAGCCTATCTCAGGCATCTATGACCGGTGGGGTGGCCCCCAGCCTAGCCCAGCCATCTGTGACCAGTGGGGTGGCCCCCAGCCTATCTCAGGCATCTGTGACCGGTGGGGTGGCCCCCAGCCTAGCCCAGCCATCTGTGACCGGTGGGGTGGCCCCCAGCTTAGCCCAGCCATCTGTGACCGGTGGGGTGGCCCCCAGCCTAGCCCAGCCATCTGTGATCAGTGGGGTGACCCCCAGCCTATCTCAGGCATCTGTAACTGGTGACGTGGCCTCCAGCCTAGCCCGGCCATCTGTGACTGGTGGGGTGGCCCCCAGCCTAGCCCAGCCATCTGTGACTGGTGGCATGGCCCCCAGCTTTGCACGGCCATCTGTGACTGGTGGGGTGCCCCCCAGCCTAGCTCAGGCTTCTCTGACCAGTGGGGTGGCCCCCAGCCTAGCCCGGCCATCTGTGACCAGTGGGATGGACCCCAGCCTAGCTAAGGCATCTATAACTAAGCTGTCTAGGAGGAGTGGGGTAACCCCCAGCCTAGCTAAACCATCTATAGCTAAGCCGTCTATAACCAGTGGGGTAACCCCCAGCTTAGCTAAGCCATCTGTGACCAGTGCGATAGCTCCCAGCTTAGCTAAGCCATGTATGACTGATGGGGCGGCTCCCACCATAGCCCAGCCATCAGTGACTGGTGGGGTGGCCCCCAGCCTAGCCCAAGCACCAGTGGCCTGTGTGGTGGCTCCCAGCCTACCCCAGCCATCAGTGGCCTGTGTGGTGGCCCCCAGCCTAGTCCAGCCATCAGTGGCCTGTGTGGTGGTCTCTAACCTAGCCCAGCCACCTATGACAGGTGGGATGGACCCCAGCCTAGCCCAGCCATTTGTGGCCAACAGGGGGCCCCTCAGCCTCTTCCAGCCATCTGTAATTGGTGGTGCCAGTTGCGTAGCTGGCCAGTCAGGCTGGGCCCCTAAAGTGGGTTCAAATCTACCATCAAGAGTGAATGCCATGGCCCCTAGTCTGCGTCACCCATCATTTGTGACTGAAGTCCCCTTGAGCACATCATACTCCTCTGCCATTAGCAGCCCGGGCCAAGATCTGAGCCAGTCATCTGTGGCTGCTAGGATGGCCCCCTGTCAAGATCCTGTAATGGTTGGTGGGGTGGCCTCAAACGCCCAGGCCCCTGAGTTCAGCGAGGTGTCCCTGGCGTTTCATCAGCCGCTCGGTGTCGGTGGGGGACACACAAGCATCACTGAACTTTCTGCGGTCACTCTCTCAGCCCCGAATCTCTTCCAGGCCTCTGGTGCTGGTGGAGAGGACTCTTGTCTAGAACAGGGAACCAGTATATGTCCTGGGGCTCTGTTCCAGGGCACTATGGCTGCTGGTATGTTCCCACATATGTCTCGGGGGACCCTGGCTGCTGGTATGTTCCTTGGTATGTCTCCAGGGCCTGTATCTCCGGGTATGACAGGGAGTGTGTGCCAGAGAAGTGTGACAACTGGTATGGGCCCAAACCAGTTTCAGATGGCCAGTGGCGTGGCTCCCATTGCATCCCCAGCCCCTGTGGCAGGTGCCTCTTTGATTCACAAGCAAGCCTCAGAGGGCCCTGGTTTCTCTCGGGCTTCAGTGCCCAACAGACCGGGTATGAGTCCATTCAAGTTTTCTCAGGCCAATGCAGGTGCCAACATGCCTCAGGTCAATGTTGATCTCCCAGTATCTTTGAACCACCAGCATCCTTCGGTGTCCACAATCACGGCACCTGGTTATGAACAAGCAAATGCTTTCAGCCAGGAGCCCGTGATGGACACAGCTAGTGGCCTGGTGCCAGGTTCTGTAGCCACTAGGATGACCACAGCCATGGCCCCAGGTACTGTGGCCAGTGGTACGGCCCCCAGCCTTCCCCCAGGGTCTGTGATCAGGGGCGTGGGGCAGAGCCTGCTTCCAGGGTCCGTGATCAGTGCTGTGCCTCCCCACCTTCCGCCCCGTTGCATGGTTGGTTGTGTGGCTCAAACCCTTCCCGAAGGGTCTGTGATCTATGGTATCAGCCATAGCCTTCCCCCAGGATCCGTGATCAGCGGCATGGGCCAGGGTCTTCCTCCAGATCCTGTGGCCAGTGCTGTGGCCCAGAACTTTCCTCCAGGTTCTGTGGCTAGTGGGGTACCCCCCAGTCTAATGGCGACATCTGGGGCTGGTGGGAAGAGACAAAGCTTCATAAGACCCTCAGTGAGTTTCACTGCCCCAAGCCTGATCCCAGGTTCAGTGTCAAGTGGGATGGGCCCAGGTGTGTCTCCTGGGTCTGTGGCCTCTAGTGTGGTTCCAGCCATAGATGCTGGGGGACTGAATCAGGACCTGATTCTAGGGTCCACGGATAATGCAGCTGGCCTGCCATCCACAGTGGGGAATATGGCCCAGAGCCTCCCCCAGGGGTCCATGCTGATCGGGATCACTCCCCGTCCTTACCATGGAGCCCTGGCTAGGGAAGGGTCTACAGCCCCCTTCCAGGCCCCCCATGCCACTGGCCTGGCTCAACTGCATCCCCAGGCCTTGGAATCTAGCGGCACAACCAGGAGAGTACACCAAGTGCCCACGGTCCTCCAAAGAGCCTCCCAGTTGAGCCATGCTCTTGAGATGATGCCATTTGAGGCCACAGATGACCAGGCCATGATGAAACCAGAGGACCTGAACAAGGCTGTGTCCCAGGTGTCCATATCCAGTGCAGAGTCCATGGTCCTTGACGCAACCCCGTGGATGTCCCATAATCCCCTGTCAACTGACCACAGCCACGAATTCCTTCCCAGTGGTCAAAGGCCGTTGTTGGAGATGGTTCCTAGCCAGACCAAGTCTCTGGCCAGTGGCATGACTCCTGTCCCGTGCCAGTCCCTGAATTTTGCCAAGCACTCCATGGCTGGTGGCACCACCCCAACTCTGCAGCAGAGGTCAGCAACCAGTTGGGAAGCCCCCAGCTCCCACTTTGTGACTGCTAGTAGGGTTCCCAGTGTGCACGTGGAGTCTCTCAAGGTTATTGGGGCCCCCTTGGCTCGACAGGCATCAGTGGCTCACGTGGTGCCCCAGAGCCCCTCAGTGACTCACATGGTGCCCCAGGGCCATGTCCACAAGATGGGGGCTTCTCCCATGGTCTCAGGGTCACCCAAGCTGGTCCATAGCAGTACTATGGCATCCAGTGTGTACCCAGGGTCTATAGCTGGGATGGGGACCCCAAGCACTTCCCAGAGGTCAGGGACCACCTACAAGTCCTCACATATGCTGTATCCGCCCATGGCTGGTGGGATAGCATCTGGTGGGTTCCAGGTAGAAGCGGTCCCCAGGGCACACAAGAAGCCAGCGTCTGGGGACCTGACTCGGAGCAGCCACAAATTTCTTGGCTCTAAAAAATCCTACAGGTTCATGCATGGTTGTCTTGTCTCAGACATGCTAGACAGTAATGTAGCCAGGGTTGTGCCCTTGCATGAAGTGCAGGAGCACACCTCCAGGTCCTCACAGGAGAGTCCCGAACACTCCAAGAGCGCACCACCGGCCGTGATACCCATCATCCACACCACTGAGGTGGCACACAACACGACTGCCCCTAAGCTGCCCCTGGGGTTTCGGAGGGTGTCTCTGGGCTATGAGTCTTCACCTGATGGTTCCCAGAGGCCCCTTTTTACCCCAGAGTCAATGCAGGGGTTCCGGGATTTCCATAGCGCCGTGGCTCCTGCAGGTAGTCATAGTGCGTCCCTGACTCCCACTGTACTCCAGGGCCCTGTGGATGCTGGCATAGCTGGTGGCCAAGCATGGAACTCGGCCGTCCCCAGTGTAGCCGTCGGGCCCATGACCAGCGCCGCAGCCCCCGGTGGCCCCTGGAATCTGGCCAGGGCTTCTGTGCCCAGGGACACTGCGGGTAGAGAGGCAGCAGAGGATCCCAGACCGTCGGGGGAGCTGGTGACGTCGATGCAGGCTGTGGAGAAGATAATCATCCATGCCGTGGTCACCATCCAGGCGTGTGCCCGCGGCTACCTGGTGCGCCGAACCATCAAGGTGTGGCACCGGTGGGCCATCATCATCCAGGCCGTCTGGCGTGGCTACCGTGTGCGGCGGGACTTGGCCCGGCTCTCTCAAGCTGCCACCACCATCCAGGCCATGTGGCGAGGCTTCTGCACCCGCCAGAACCAAACCCAGGCAACATTGCTCCCAGGCGTGTGGACCAAGACGGACAGCAGGACCAAGTCCATGTCGGACCACCGCTGCTTCCAGTCTTGCCAGCCGCACGTCTGCCCCCTCTGCCAGTCCCTGAGCCCCAGGCTGGGGAGCCCGCCCAGCGTGGTGATGCTCGTGGGGTCCAGCCCCCGCACGTGCCACATGTGTGGCCACACCCTGCCCACTCGGGTGGTGCACGGCATGGGCCGGGGCTCCAGGGTCCAGGCTGGCATGCCGTGGGCCTGCGGTACCCCGATAGCCTCCTGGAGCCCCCGGCAGTCCCGTTGCCAGCATAAGGCAGCCATGGCCATCCAGTCGGCCTGGAGGGGCTTCACAGTGCGCCGCCAGCTGAGGCAACAGCAGATGGCTGCCAGGATGCTCCATGCCACCCAGTGCGGCCACCACACCCGGGCCTCCCTCACTACGGATGAGCTCTTGGGACCAGCAGCATGGGACAACTCGCAGCACATGCAGTGGCCAGGCGTCTAGGACGTTGGCTGACTGGTGGGGAGGGGAAGTGTGGCTCTCTGGGTCTAACGAATAAAGCCCTCCACGGCCTGAGTCTTGGTTCACCTGTGCTCATGGGGGTGTCTTGGGCCTGGTTCGGGGAGTTGGGGGGGAATTGGGAGGATCTGGAACATCCTGGATGGGAGCCTCCAACGATGCACTTGGTACATGGGGTCTGTGGCTGGGATGGGGACCCTAAGCCTTTTCCGGAGGTCGGGGCGAACCGACCGTGTGGTCCCACCTCTGTTCTGTATCTATCCATGGCTAATGGAGTGGGGTCCAGTCAGTTCCAGATGGAAGCTGTCCCCAGCACATTCCAGAAGCCAGCGTCTGGGGATCTGGCCTAAAATGGCCACCATGAGTTCTTTGGCCCTAGAAAATCCTACAGGTGCATGCATGGGTGCCTTGTTCAGGACATGCTAGAGGGTTCCAGCCACTTCCTGATTTGGGAAGTGTATCCTGCCTTTCTCTCTCACCCCTGGTCTAGGTGAGAGCGAGCCAGACACAGATATGCCCAGCCTGTACGGGCAGGAGCAGGGCAGAGAGGGAGGGGGCCACCTCAGAGGGGGTAGCCTGGGCAGCGGAGGGGCAGAGGAGGGTGGCAACATGGGTTTGGGGCAGCTGTGGAGGGGGCCACAGAGTGGAGGGGAAAGGGAAGGGTGTGGGTGGGCAGGAGTGTCTTGAGTGGAGAGGGAGAGTTTAAGGGCTTCAGGTCATGGTCCAGGTGCGGTTTTTAGGAGAGGTGGGGGTATCCAGGTGGAGAGGGCGGCGGGAGTGACACCCCAGTGAACAGTAAGTAGCAGCCCCCCAGAGGCCCTGTGTCCCGAGGCCCGGCCTGTGTGCAGTCCCGCGGGCCGCCAGCAGGGTGCGCCTGTGCCTGCAGGTGTAGAGAGCAGGCACCTGGCCGCACACCTGGGCTGAGCCCGCCTTTGGCCCTCCCTGCACCGGAATGGCAGGCTCCCAGACGCCACCACCACTTCTGCTGCTGGCTGTGGTGCTGCTGTCGGGGAATTTCTCTTCACTGTCACCTGTAGAGGTGAGAACAGGTCAGGAGGAGACCTGGCCTCCAGGAAGCTGGAGGGGGGCACATGGCCCAGCTACACGCCTGGCTTCTGGACCCCTCCCTCAGGCCACCCTGGTTGGCCTGCCCCTCCTCCCGCCTCCCCCCAAAACACGAAGGGCCGCTCCTCTCAGAAGGGAGGTGGGGCAGGGGTGAGAAGAGCTGGAGCGCCACCACGCCTGCAACCCCCAGCCCCTGCCCCAGCCCTAGCCAGTTCTGCCATCCCAGCGTGAGCGGGACCAGCCAGAGGCTAGTGGGGCCTCTACACCCAGTCTGAGGTTCTGTTTCAAACCTGTTTCCTGTAGCCAGACTCTGCAGGGATTGGAGTGAGGACCCCAGGGCCATGGTGGGGGCAGGAGCCGGGGAGACGCACAAGGGCTCACTTCCTGGCCACTTACACTATTTATGGCTCCCAGGAGACATTCTTGGCACCTGACTTAATTTCCGTCTGCTGCCCTGTAAGACAGTTCCCAGAGCGCATGGGATCCTCCTCCCCCAGCGCTCTGTCTCCCACCAAGTCATCGCTCTTTTTGACCCTGTGCCCCAGCCCCAAACCTGGACTCTCAAGAGTGGAGACCACCATGCATGAGACTCTTCCCGCAGGAAAGAGCTTCGTTCAGAAGACACCGCATTTACCCTCATTGCGGAGCTCAGGAAACAGGCTTGGGCAAGACGAGTCTCCCAGCTGTGCCACGCCCAGATTCGAACCAGTTGACTTGGCTCTTGCCAGCCTCCTGGTCTGGGACTCTCTGGGCAAAGGAAACTCCTGGCACAGCGCACGGAAAGAGCCCCACCTCACCTTCTGGTCGAGTCTCCCGCAGCTCATGAGCACCTGCCTACTCTGTACCGGGCACTCAGCAGAGCTTGTGCCCTCCTTCCCCTCCTCTTTCAAGGCCCACTGCTATTACTCAGTTCACTTTAAAAAGTTCAGCTCCCCGGGGCTTGGCTGGGGGTCCACTGTGGCCCTGAGTCGTCTTCTGATTTCAGCAGAAATTCCTCAGTGATGGGAAGCGGTTTGGGGAGGCTGGCCTCTTGGCTCTTGACTCCTTGGAGGTCCTTAAGGGGCCCTCTTCCCACCTTCCCAGTCTCCTGGGGGGCCAGACTCCCTACCCTTCTGAGCCTCAGTTACCCATCTGTAAAATGGGAATGACGTCAGGCCAGTGCACGATGCCTCTTCTAGACTTCTCTGTCATCCCCACAGAGCCTGGGAAACTGGACAGAGAACTGGGGGTGGGGGTGGGGTGGAGTGTCTGTGTGTAGACCCAGCTCCCTCCTGGGGCCAGCACTGGATGTTACTTCCACATTTTCGCGGCCTGGGGTGAGGCAAGGGAGGAAGCACACAGATTTGCCCAGGGCAGAGTGGATGGGGTGGGGCAGGGAGCGGTTGATGAATGAACTGGCGAACTGCCAAGGTGCCTGGAGCCCAGAACTGGGAAGTAATTGTGGGAGGTGGCCCACAAAACATTTATTCACCCTGAGCTCCTGGGCTCAGCGCCTGTGATGGTGTAGGAGCCAGGGAGTGGCTGGAAAAAAGCAGGGTAGGTTTCCAGAGACCCAATCCCCTGATTCTTCCCAGAGCCCAGGCCTCTGAGCCAGGCCCTCATTTAAGGCTCTGAGTTTAGCCTTGGGGACCTTCCAGGTACCTGGTGACGATTAGGGGCTGATTCTCCCCGGAGCTCAGAATGGATCTGTGCAGCTGAGCATCACTGAGTACCCACTAGGTGCCAGACCTGTGTGAGCCCTCAGAGGCTCTGACTTACCGTGATGTCCATTTTACAGAAAAACTGAGTCCCAGAAAGTTTAAAAGAGTTCTCCAGGGGGGGCCTGGCTGGCTCAGTTGGTGGAGCATGCGACTCTTGATCTCAGGGTCATGTGTTCAAACCCCACGTGGGGGTTTGTTTACTGAATGAAAGAAAGAAAGAAAGAAAGAAAGAGAGGAAGGGAGAGAGAAGGAAGGAAGGAAGGAAGAAGGAAGAAAGGAAGGAAGGAAGGAAGGGAGGGAGGGAGGAAGAAAAAGAGTTCCTCAGGGGCGCCTCGGTGGCTCAGTCGTTAAGCATCTGCCTTCGGCTCAGGTCATGATCCCAGGGTCCTGGGATCGAGCCCCGCATCGGGCTCCCTGCTCCGCGGGAAGCCTGCTTCTCCCTCTCTCACTCCCCCTGCTTGTGTTCCCTCTCTTGTTGTGACTCTCTCTCTGTCAAATAAATAAATAAAATCTTAAAAAAAAAGAAAGAAAGAAAGAAAAAGAGTTCCTCAGCAAGCTGCCTGGATTCAGAGGGTCTCTAGAATTGTAAAGCAAGAATAGGGGCTGGGAGAGTCTGGCCTGGCCTGGAACTCTGACTGTGGGACTTCCGACAAGGGCACCTCGCTTTCCCACTGAGCACTCAACGTGGTGAACTAAATCTTCCAGGTCTTGCTGAGAGGCAGGTGTTTACCATCTGGGATAATAGGGAAATCGACATCCAGAGAGGGGCTGGGGCTGCACACCCTCATTCCTAACCATCCCCTCCCCTCAAGGTCAGTGGCCTTTTCCTTCTGAGTGTTATTTTTTTTGGTGCTCTTGGAGAGCAGGATGGAGAAGCCAGCTTCCAAGCTACAGGTCCCCCAGTTCAGTGGAAACCTCCACCAACCACTTCAGCCCCCTGAGTTCAGAGACAGGCTCTACCATCCACCCCAGAACCCTGAGTTTAGAAGCAGACTTGTTAAAACACAAAATTCAGTGGAGTAAATTTGAAGATCTAAATGGCTTTATTTAATGATTCATGAATTGGGCAGCAGCCCATCTTAGCAGATAGAAAGGAGCTCTGAGGAGCTGTACAAAATGGAAGGCCTTGTATAAGCAGAAGGGGGAAGAGAAAGGAAGTTTCTGGCAAAGGGTGGATTGTTTCAGGCAAGTTTACCTTCCTTGGGGGAATTCAGAGGAAGGGCGTCTATCAGTCAGATTATCTCCCAAGTGCTGACCGGGTCATTCCAGATCGACGGGGTAGAGGTCACACTCCTGTGGGAGGGGTGGAAACTGCAATTAGATCAGGTATGAAGTCTTGGTTTGCTCATCTGGGGCTTAGCACAAGTGACTCCATTTTGGACCTTTTTCTTTTTTAGCAGACTCAACTGGCCAGAGCCCGTAGTTAAGAGGAAGTCTCCACAATCCCCCACAACTCTTCAAATTCAGAGAAAACCCCCATCACCCCACCCATCCCCAGCTCCACAAGTCCAGTGTTGGCGCCCACCTCCTCACAACCTCCTCACACCAGTTCTGGCTCCCCCGGTTCAGAGCTTACCCCTACCTCCCACTCCAGCCCCCCAAGTTCCTCCACCTTGACCCTGCATTGGAGTTCCACTTCTCTCAGCCCAAGAACAGAGCCCTCCTCCGTGCCCTCAGCCACCACTGATGGGACCTTTGTGACCACCTGCCCTGGTGAGTACTAAGAGGTTTGCAGGGTTGGGGAAATGTTTGGGGGTACCAGGCTGCAGTTCTGAGATTGGCCACCAGGGAGAGACACAGACCTGAGAATTCGTGGAGAAGGTCTTCCCACTCTCTACCTGATCTCACCTAAAGCCCTTCAGACCCTCTTCATTCTATGCACATTTATTAAGTGCCTAGTGTGGATCATCAGGTCCTGTGAGAGACAGCTTTGTTGGGAGACAGATTATAAGTAAATTATATATTTGTTTATAAAAGAACAAAATAAACAGGATAAGGGGTCAGAATGCCAATACAAGTGGATTGAATTAAAAAAAACTTTTTTAAACTTTTATTTATTAAGTAATCTCTACCTGCATGTGGGGCTCAAACTCACAACCCCAAGATCAAGAGCTCCATGCTAGGATTGAAAATTTTTTTTTAAGATTTTATTTATTTGACAGAGAGAGAGCACAAGAACTGGGGAGCAGCAGGCTCCCCACTGAGCAAGGAGCCCGATGT